GTGAACAGGAGTGTGTAGGCTCCAGCAAGCAGAAAAGTGCACAAAGCTTTGAGATCTTATAGAAAGCACATGGGAACACACCACAGACAGATCCTTTCCCACAGTCAAAGCAGGTGCAATACACCACAACTCCTCCCCAAATGAGGCCCACACCATCATTTCAACATCTAAATATTAAGCTCCCCAGACCATAGGGAAGTGTTCTCTTACTTACAGCTCTACAGAAAGCCAGCCATGGCTGCAGTCTCTCAGAATAGTTAAGACATTCTTTAGAGTCTCACCTTCTGTAGAGTCTGGTCCAAAAGGCAGCAGTGCAAGTAACAGTCCAGGCTTTCTTGCAAATCAAAGAGAACCGGACAATGTCCTCAGGGCGAATGTAGGAAGCCAACAGCAGCCAGATATCAATGGGGTATTCCTCTCCACCATCACCATCAGGATTTTCTAAATGCAATCAAGGTACATTAGCGTAATAAAGAACTTCTTCACCAAATCACAGCTGGAGGCCTATGCTGTAGTGCTGTTAGCATGGGTGAGTAACTGCAACACGGATGTAAATGCAGTCATATGAACAAGTCTGAGACAATTTCACTTCACACTGCTGGACAGGTGCCATCATTTATCACTGCTGCACAGGTTGCACACGTGTGCAGAGCGGCAGATAGAAAGAATAAGATGGGCTGAAAGGAGGAAGCTCACTACTGCCAAGGGAGGTTCTGGATGTGCTCACTTCCCTACAGACTGACTTGCCCACAATGAGCCCAGAGCAGAGCTGTGCACACAGCCCTGGATATCAAACTGCTATCAGTACTAACAGTTAAACTTAAGTACCAGGAACCAACAGAGCCTGGATTCCACCAACAGACACAACATGGGCATCAACGTCTGTTTGTTTTTGTTGGTTTGTTTTTTTCCTAAAGCAAACTCTGCTTTCACCTGCATGCTTTCAAGCAAGAACTGTAACACACATCCCATGGCAAAGTTTCACAACTCTTCTCATAAGCAGCATTAATTTTCCAAGGCTGAGAGAAGACTGCTGAAAGCAGCAAGCTCTTTGGCTCTGATTTCATGCCCAAAGCTCAGCCTTAGTGAAAAGACAACACGTGTGACTGAGTCACAGCAGGTTCCTGGGACAAATGGGGCAGAGTGATTCAATCCTTTGCATTATTATGATTTATATTTCAAAATACAAATTACAGGATGCCCTGAAGCTGCAGGTTTAACCTGCAAACAGCAGTTGTTAATTGAAGAAACCCACACACAGCACCCAGGAGAGGCTGGTGAACATACCTTTGTGTCTTTTGCTCTTCTTTTTTCTGGATGCAGTTCGCCCACTGATACTTTCCTTTGTATCCATTTCATCACTGCTGTCACAAGACTCTCCTGACATGGAGAGAACTTCCTCAGAAGGAACACAAGAAGCTTCCAAACCACAGAGGGATTTTACTAGAATGACAAGCAATGACACGATAAGTATGCCAGGAGATAGACAGAAACAGATGATTCAAGCTCAGGAGATACTTCAGGGGAACCAGAGCCACTGCTAAGAAGCAACATAACTGCATTAAAGTCTCCTGGTGACGCATGGAAACCCTAAGCCCTGGGATTACCTTCTCAGAGCAAGATTAGCACAGGTGAGTGACTTAGAAACAACAGCCTACTGTTTTAAGGAAGGAACAATGAGGATGATCCACTGGTTTCCCTGAAGCTGTTTATGACTTTGAATAAAACACCACCGCTTCTTGTGTGGCACCAACTGGCTGCCCTGCATACCACAGCATCCCTGTCTGACCACTGCTCAGCCTGCATAAAGCCAGCACCCATGCTCGAATTGTCCTCAGAACACTGGAAGTGTACTTCCTTCTCAGCAGGACAAAGAGATCCTGCGGCTGAAGACAAGCAATCCATCAGCAATGGAACTCAGAGCCAAGTACACAAGCTCCACTTCAGATTTTATTGAAGGGCCTAATGAGCAACAGCAAGCGAAGACAGAATTTCTTTTGCTGCCTCTGGGGAGATGTTCAAACACTTCACTGTTAGGAAATATTTTACTGTAAACTGAAGACTCACTGGGGCAGAAAAAGTCATGTGTGAGGCAATAACAGGAGTCTTAAAAAAGAAAGGTGCAGTCCTGTGTTACAGCCGAACAAGGCACAGACACAGAGGAACCAGCATGATAACAGCATTATAAGCACTCTGCAAACAGTCTAAAATGTGGGGCCACGTGCATTCAAGAAAGTTGAATTTCAACAGAATTTGCTTGGATGAAGAAAAGCACCTCTATCAAGAGGCATCTGGCTCCCTCAAAGGAGATCTGTGCTGCTCACACTTTTCTAGCCTAGCAAAGGAAACCCCTGGAAGGTTTTACATATTGCAGATACAGCCAGCAGAGCCAGCAGAGAGCAAGAAGTGGCAGAAAAAAAATAAATCATTAAGTACTGATTATAAATAAACCTAGGCTAGAGATTTTCCTCATTTCTTAACCACAGAGCAAGGTTGTGAAATGATAACAGAGCAGATGGAAACGAAGTCCTAAGACAGAGCTTGAGCAGTTTAGGAAGAGGGACTGCATCACTTGGTTTCTGGCCACATCACAGAACTGCAGTGCTCTGCCAAATGAGTTCCACCATATTTTGCACAATTTACTTTGTAAACTGTATGCATTTGTGGCAGTGATATCCCTCGCTCTGTAACAGCACTCACCTCTACATACAACCTTATGCAGGCAAAACCAAATAGAAGCAGATGGCAACACATGACAGTTGTGACATCAAATACAGCCAAGCAAGAGATGACAACTAATCAAGACTCAGGGAAGGGTTCAGAAGAAGGCAGTCACACTCTAGGAAGGAAAGCTCAGCAAGGCTGTTCACACTGAGTCACGCTACATCGTAATCTTGCCAGAGAGATTCCATCCCATTCATCTCACAGCAGCCACCCCCACCTTGTCCCTGCGGGTTAGGAAGGAACAGATAAATGCTCAGGAAAATTCCACCTGGCCTTTGCTCCCCTCCCTGCCTCCTGGCAGCCATGGGCAGGGCAATGTTTGAGAACCAGCAAGGTAAGAGGTGAGCGAGGCCAAAGTTCCCCAGGCAGAGGCCATCTCCTTCCTGCTGCTGGTTGTCAGGGTGCCCCACGGTCACGACCAGGACAGATAAGGCTGTAGAACAGCCTGGGGCTGATAAGGACAGAGCCTGAGGATCAGTTCATCAGAAGGGTGAAACCCCAGCAGTTCTGCAAGGAATCACAGTCATCTGAGCAGCAAGAAGGTGAACCAGCAACGGGATGCTGGATTTTAGGAGAGGGGTTAAACTGCACAGGGTAAGCAATGCAAGGACTCAGAGTGGGGGCAAGAAGGGAAAGATGTTACAGCTTGCTATGAAGCTGAAGTGCAGCAGTGGGAGGCATTGCCTCAAATGGAGAGTCTGTGTAAGACTGAACAGGAAACAAAACAGGGAGAGGGAAGCCTCCAGCTTTGTACAAAGAATGGAAGGTGCCCTGATCTGAAAAGCTTGAGCAGTGACTAGAAAGGAAAACTGAGTGGCATCGCTATCCTGTAAACTTCACAGTGCAAAGAGCACCTCTTTACAGCAGTCACTGTCCACATAATAACATCCACCTCCAACCAATTCCACATGTCAGACCAGTTCCACTTAGGAGTCAAATCCTAAATACTAACAGCTCTTGAGCAAGCAGGGTGAGTTAGCCCATAATGTTCCCATTACTCTCAGCAGCTGAAAACCAAGGAAGTAGAGAACAAAGCACTGCAATAGCTGTTCAGGAAACTGCTTGCTTATACAGCTTACTAAACAACAGCAATACTCTCAAAAGATCTCACTGCAGCCTGCAGCACAATTTATCAGAGCTAACATCATTCCATTATTCTAATTTCAAATAGTTTTACCTGGTAGTAAAATTATCTATAGTTCTGTATGAGGTAATGTAGCCATACAGACTCTGTTGTCTTTGTAGTTGGTGAGGTTTTTTTTTTTTTGCTTCAAGCAGGAGGTAACACTCCATATTAAAAAAGAAAAAAACTCTTCAATTTAAGGCACCAGGAAAGACTCTGCAATTCTTGCTGGACTTGCAGCTGGAATTCTGCAAAAATCCTGTCTAAGATCTGAATAATCCCACAGAAAAATGCAGACTCATCTTCAGGCATCAAACCAAACTGTTTTCTCAGACCATGGGGATGAAGAGGAGCCCCACAGCACAGAGGCTGGTGGGATGGGGGGCAGCCTTCCCACATGCCGGCTGGCAGGGCAGGCTCCCTACACACAACGCTCACCTTCCTGCTGCACTGCGTTGGCCACAGCTTTCTTCACCCGTCCAGATTTCACGACAGCCGGGTCTGAGTTCGCATAATCTGCCACCGTCACTGCAGGAGAGTCAAGAGACAGGGCGACAGGGGATTACAGCTTACAAGGAGGGGAGAGAGGTCTAACAGGTGCAATCCCTCCTCAAGGAGGACGCTGCACGGGGACAGCGCCGAGGAGAAAGCACGCAGCAAAAGCAGCCCCGGCAGCCCCGCAGGCTTCCACCACAGGCACGGACGGCCATCACCGTCCAGCACGGAGCAGCTCTCCCTGTGCCCAGCCAACACAAACCCCTCGCTGCTCCTCGCAGCAGCCCAACCCGCCGCTCCCCGCCCGCCGGCCGCGCAGCACCAGCTGAGGAGCCTCGCCTCCCCTCATGCACAGCCTTAACGCTCCCACCTCCGAGCCTCTCCGCTCCCGGGCCAGGCCGCAGGGCCCGCTAGGCCCGTCCCCTCGCACGGCCTCGCTCCCCTCCATCCCCGCCCCGCATCCTCACCGCGTTCGGAGCAGACGTCGTCGGCACGGAACTTGAGGCGTTTGCGGGCGCCCCGTTTGGGCATGGCGGCGGCTTCGGGGCGGCCGCGCGGGGCCATGTCCGGCCCGTCCCGCCCGGGGCCGCCGCGGCGCCGCGGGGAAAGCGCCACCTCTCGCAGAGCCTCGCGAGAGCGTGACGTCATCTCTGTGCGCCGCGCCCTTGCGTCGTGGTGTCAGTAATGGGGATATGTAAATGGGATAGCGGGTGCTCCCGGTAAGCTGTGGAGAAACTGGCGCTCGGTAACCGGTCCTTTCTGTCCACAGCCCTGTGGGATGCCCCAAAGCCACGGCCCTATGAGCCTCCTGCCCCTCCACCCCCACACTGGGGTCCCCCACCGTCCAGGGTGTTGCAGCTGAGCCACCCCATGTCTGTTCACAGCCCCTGTGCGTTGCCAGGCACCTCAGCCCGCACTGACCCCACGCAGCTCCTGTGGGTCTGGCAGTGGGTACGAACTGGCACTCGGCTGCTTTTCCTGTTTCTTTTAGGACCGTGCTGAATTGTCAGTCCTTGGTGATGCCACCTCCTGGTTAAGGAGTCATAAAGGTGCCGTGAAGAGTTGAGATTCCTACTGGAGGATCCTGTTGGACATCACTGGTTGTCCAAGCAGTCGGACTGGGAGTCCACACGCTCTCCCTGACCTGCATTTACACGGCTGTCCTGCAGCATGGGCTTGGAAGGAAAGCACAAGTTCAGTCCCATCCCCAGCATCCTCAGCACCATCCCAGTGGACACTGCACAGCCCACTGCATTTCGTCCTCTCAGAGTTTCTTAAAATATAATGAGAGTATTTTATCAGCAAAAAACCTGGCAATAGAAAAGTCTTGTCTATTCCGGACAAGAAAGTTCAATCGTTGACAAAAATGCTGTTTCTAATTGTATTCATCTAGGTTTGGATCAACTGATATGAATTAGAGAGAACAGCAATTAATGCAGCTAGATCCTGACATTAATAGCTTTACCCGCCTCTTTGGTTGCATAGATACTTGAAAATGTTTTGGACTATGAGAGTCATCGTTGATATTTGAGAACTGTATCACAGTATTTTTTAAAAATAGAGTTCTTATTGGGTAACTCTGGCATATGGGAAATAGAGGAAGTTTTACCAGCATGGGACAATAGCCATGCAAAGATGGCTGTTTCCAGGTGTGCCCAGCACAGCTGCTCATCCAGCAGGTTGATAACATCGGTGGCATTCATTTTCTGAGATTTCCCAGCAAAAATATCACAGAATGAGCTCCGTGTCCCTGCACAAATCCGGTGAGGCACAGGAAGCAGTGCTTCACTGCAGTGCTGCCAGTGATAACAAAGTGCTGCATCGCTGAGGGCTCTGTGATGGTCCAGGCGAGGGATGTCCCAGAGGATGCTGAAGGCCGTGCAAGAGTTGAAGGAGCAGCCTGTGGTTTAAGAAGCCCCAGATTAATTGCTTATCTTCTAATGAAGCCTACATGTGCTGGGCTTGTTGGGCACAGTGCTGGGGTGTGTTACACTTTCTTTATTCCTGGTAAGGGTGGGGAAAGGTGCACCCAGGGCACAGCTGCCCTTCACCCCACAGCCTGAGTCTGCTCCTGCCTCGCTCCCCATAGGGATGGATGAGGCCTCTGGACTTCATCCTGCTATAGGATCCTTCCTGCTGTAGGGGCTTCTACTCCCAAGGAAGTTCCTGCTCCCCGAGGAAGTTTGCTGCCCCACAGGGGGCTCCTACCTCAGGGAAAGTTCCTGCCCCTTCAAGAAGATCCTTGCCCATGGAAGTTCCTGCCCCACAAGTGAGCTTTTTGCCATCTCAGGGGTAACACTGGCCCCCAGGACCCCACCTCGACCCCCCACCACATGAGGGAGGGGCGTGGCCAGGACAGGGCGTGGCGGGAGGGGGGCGTGGCCAGGCGGGGACGGCGACGCAGGGGCGGGGCGGGCGGCGGGAGGCAGCGGCGGCGGCGGCGGCTTCCAGCGACTTCGGCGCTCGGTGAGTGCGGGCGGGGCCGGGCCCACGCCGCCCCGGGGGATGCTCAGCTATCCGCGGGGCCGGACAGGGGATGCTCAGCCTCCATTCTGCATCCTCCATCCTGTGGAGCTGCCCGGAGGAGCTCTCCTCGTTTTGCCATCCCGAAGGATGCTCTGCATCCCTCCTGGGGCTGGGCCGACCGGGATTCGCTCCCCGCTGTTACACCCGGTGGGGTTGGACTGGGGGTGCTCTGCCTCGCCGTGGCAGGTGGGGATGCGCTGCCTCCAGGGGCTGTGCGGGAGAGAGTGCTGCGTCTGGGGGAGCTTTGTTCCACTCCGTTGCCGCTTGGAGGGGGTCTGTGAGTCAGGGACGTGCTGAGCATCCCTGTTTCTCTTGGATGGAATCGGAGTCTGGGGGTGTCATCCTCACCTTCGGGATCTTCTGTCCATAGGCATCACCCATAGGCCAGGAATCTGAGCCCAGGGATTGCTGTGCCCCCCACAGATGGGGGCTGCCTGTTCCCCACTGGATGTGTGGGCAGGAGGGGTAAAGAGGTGGCCAGACCTCCTCCAAGCTGCAAGGTTTTTGGGGAGGCAGCGATTCCTATAACCCTGGAGTGGTGAGGGGGGGGGGGGGGGGGGGGCTTTCCTTTCCCAGCTGCCTTCTGCCCCAAGCAGCCCTCCACTGTGGTCCCAAGCTTTGCACCCCTGGCTCCCATTTTCCATTATGGGTGGACATCCTGATGAGACCAGTCCTTACCTGTGGCCTTCTGCTCCGATTTCTGTGTGCCACGTCCTCCTGCCTCCCTTAGTGTTGTCTCCAGTCTGCAAGCATCCACTCCGGTCTGAATCAGCCCTCAAGCATCCACCCAGCACTGAGCCTGGAGCTGGACCAGCTCATGGGGAAGCTCACAGGGATGGTCCTGAGCTCTGCACCAGGTGGATGTTCTCCAAACCTGGGGTTGGATCAACCCAGTGAGCATCCAGCCAGCCTGCTTGCCTCCAGCTGTTCTCACACTGGTTCCTATTCTCCTGTCAGCCAATGCTGTCTCAGTACAGCCATGGCAAGCTGCCTCCAGACACTGTGATTTCCTCCTGAATAACACCAGCCCTTCAGGGCCTCATTTATCCCCCAAATTGCATCATTATAACCGCAATTGGCTTAGGAAGATAGGTTTTGTTAAAGCTGTACAAAACCTTCTGGGGATGCCCCAGTTTTGGCCAAGTAGGTGCTGGCAAAACATTCACTTAAGCTCATTTTCCACCATCTGCTTATATGCTAGAATGAGGTTCTCCTGGTGGGTTTGACACCATAGCACTGCACTGTGAGCTGGTACAGAGGCAAGGTGTCAACTGGAGTTTGGTACCTGGACGGTTGTGCCTGTGTGGTCCAGGAGCTTCTTGCTTGCGGTGCTGCCTGTAGAGATGGAAAGCTGGTGTCTGTGTGGCTCCAGTGCTCCGGGAGTCATGGGTATCACTGCTCTTGATGGTGCTCCAACACACACATCCCTGTGGGCATCTCAGGAGGGTGATGGCTGGGAGGTGGGACTGATGTCCAGGATCTGCAAGAGCAGGTGGCTGGTGCTGGTGCCTGGTGATGCTCAGATGCAAGGATGACTTTCCGGCATCAGTGCAGGCTGTGAAGTAGTGAAATGATTCAGAGCCCTTTGCCATTAGGAGAGTTGTGCTGATATAATTGGATTTTAATTTGGTTTGTTCTGTGGTCGAGCAGGTTGAAATGCTTGTGGGGACACTGTAAAGCCATCAGTTTAGGTTGCACAGTGAGGACACACAAAGGGATGAAGTGGGTTTTCATCTCTCTCTGTCATTTCTGTGCAGAGCTGTGCTGGGAACAGCCCTGCCTGCCCCTGTGCTGCACCACAGTGCAGTGGTTTCTGTCCTACAGGTGGAGGCATCCTGGAACTGGGTGCCAAAACTTCTCCAAAGGCATGAAGGGCCTGACTGTATCTCTTCAAAATTGCCTTTCCTTTCCCAAATCTCCATTCTGGTGTTTTAAATCAGCTCACAGGTTGCTGCCTCCAGTGCAGTAATCCTGCAGGACTGACAAGGCTGGAATTTGTCTGAAATGCAGATTTTTTTTCCAGTTCCCATTTTTCAATTTCTTCCACGCTTCTGTTAGCAGGCATAAGGATGCCCCGGCTGGGTGGCTGCCTTTAATTGCATTTAAAAAAAAAAAAAAGGAAGAAAATAAGTGACAAATGAGAGCTCTTTTTCCTCATCCTGCCCATTGCAAATGATTTCCAGGAGAGGGCAGTTCCCAGGGCGTTTTGCTGCCTGATGTGGTGCCTCCCTGCACTGCAACCTCCTCAGCAGTGTGCAGCTGGTTCTTCTGAATGGGAACGTGCAGCAAGGAGGGCATTCAGCATCCAGGAGAGAGGATCAGTGGCTGGGTACTATGGGCCAGCGGGGGGAGAAGGGATCTGTCCCACATTGCTGTTCATCTGCTGGTTCAAAGCTTTGGTTTTCACCCCTTCTTGGTAGGAATGAATCGTCTTCATAATTACAGATGGGTTTTACCTTTCCTGCTATCATCGTTTGAGATGTGGATAATGTGCTGGGGCAGAATAAATGCACTGTGATGCCCAGAAGGTTCAGTAGCCAAGAGGCAAGGGCTGGGCTGGGCAGTGGGATTGTAGGAAAGAAGCGATGCTCAGCCGTAATGCTCCCCCATTTCTTACCTCTTCAGAAGCCTTGTGAGTGTGCTGCATCCTGGGACGGAGGCTCTCCTGCTAAGCCTGGCCTTTCAGGTTTCCAAAATGAGGAAGGGTGTTTATAGCCTTGCCAAGGCATTAACATATGTGTCGTAAACCTGATCCCAAGCCCTTAATCTTCCTGGTGGTGCCTGGTGCTATTCCCTATCCAAGAACTTTTGGTGCCAGGGGTTGCAGACAGTGAGGAGAAAGATGGGCTCGTACAAAGTTTACACCCTCAAACATCCAGTTAATCTCCCCTGTAATCCAGTGCCTGGCAGCTGTACTCACTGACCAGATCTCAGCCTCTTTCTGGCTTCCCCCCCCCTCAAGCATATTGCAGGAAGGAGTGATAAAAGGTCCAGAGGTTATTTTTGTCTGAGGCAGATTTATTCACACGTTGATCAGCCAGGAGGGGAAGCTATTCTGGTCCCAAGTTGTCCCACATACACACGAGTACCTCATGAGAGTGTGATTTCTCCAGGTGAGGTTGTGAGATGACATTCTCATCTTGGGAGAGAGCTCATAAAGCACCTGCATGCTGTGAGCTGCCATGAAGTTCAAAGCAACCAGAGCCAAGGCATACAGGTTGTGCTCTCCTGTCCTTTGGGGATGGGTCCAAACCCAACATCCCTGAGGTGAGATGGAGCATCATGCCTTGAAATCTTAGCACCATCCATGGGAGAACCTGGCCAGGTTGCTGGTTTGCCCCATACCTGGGTTTGGGTAGCACTCTGTGCAAACCTGAAGCCCCTCAAGGACCCATGGCAAACAAAATGCTGGGTACTGCTTTCCCACTTGGAAGAGCTGCTTCTGCTGAAGAGCTGATGAGCGGAAGTCCTGGAGATTCCCATCTGCCTGGGAACAGTTGCTGTCCTTGCTCCTCATTGGCAGTGCAGTGCTGGATGCCTGCATCTTCAGGATGCTGAAGGCAAAGCAAGGGCTCTACGGTGTCCTATCATTGAGCACAACAACATGGCTTATCTTAGCCCTGTCAGTGTTTAATGGTGAGCTCTCCTGGCCAGCAAACTCATCTTTCCTGATAAAAGTTGTCTTTTCTTCCAGCTCAGGTCCAGAAAGGGTTTGCTCAGTCCATGCTGTCTGAGATCCATGTGTGCTCTGTCCTGAGGCAGAAACAGCACTGGCTGAGTGCTGCCAGCATGCTTGGGACAGTCACCAGAGACAACTGGCATTCCCTTTGGCAGTGGGTTGAGTTTTGGGTTATGTTTTGGTTGATGCAGAGTTGAGACATCAGGGATGAGTTTCCCTTCCTGGTCTCTGCTTCCCCAAACACCCCCTAAGTGAGACACCTCACAGCACACAGAGCAAAAGGAATCGGTGTTCATTTTACCCTGAGAGCTGTTAATTATTTAAGCACCGGATCTCAAGAGCAGAATTTCACCCTTTGTAGCATAACAGATG